TTTAACAAGAAGAAATCTACCATTGCATATCCTGCAGTATATTCATGTATTCTGCAGAAAGAGCGAGGAAATGTTGATAATTTCTGTTCAGGGAAACACGTAGGATTTGTGGCAAGATAGAAAGAGAGAGAGAGAGAGAGAGAGAGAGAGAGAGAGAGAGAGAGAGAGAGAGAGAGAGAGAGAGAGGAGAGAGAAGACAGAGGAACAGACAGACAAAGAAAGTGATTTAGACAATGAGAAACAGAAATGAAGACAGAAGACGAACAGAGATGAAGACAGAGCAAGATAAACAGAGATAGAGAAAACAGAAAGAGAGAAGAAGAAAAGAGGAATTGATCAATACGAAGTCACGTGTGTTGCCTCCCCCCCCCTTCCCCCCCCACACCCCCCTTCCCCTGCCACCACGCCTTTGCAGAATAGTAAGATAAGCACCTTATCGCTTATATTTCCTTTACTCTGATTAAATAGATAATTAGATAAATAAAGGAAGGGAGAAAGGAGTGAAAAAAAAATCCTAAAGGTCTCTTTCTGTTTATTATTTTGTAGGGATGATTTGTGTAAAAAATAATAAGGAAGGAAAAAAAACATCCAAAATCGTAATATTTTTATAGGGATTACGTGTGTAAAAGGAAATGAAAAGAAAAATATCCCAGATTTGTTATTCTTTTATACAGATTAAATGCGTGAAAAAAGAATAAGAAAAACAAACAAGATTTACACTACATTTCTTGATTATCGTCGTTAAAGGAAACAAAAAAGGACAGGTGTATTCTATGCTATTCTTTCTTATTATTATAAGTAAAAGAGAGAAGAAAAATCGTGTTCATCTCCCTTTTGTGAACAGTGAATACGTTGGAAATAATTAAGATAACATTAAAAACAGATGGTACTGCAGTCCCGTGTTTATTTAACGTATTTGAAATTACTTGAATTCTATAACATGTGAGGAACATTTTAAAGTTTTATTTATTTATCTATTTATTTTATTATTGTTGTTTCATAGTGCACTGCAGACACATCACATTAAAAGCTGATATTGGAAAATAATTTTGAAAAGTTTAACCTCGCCACCTCCCCTCTGCCCCCCCCCCACGCCTTTCCCTCTTTCCTGCTTTCCCTTTACGGCTTCTCACTCTCATCCTCCTTTTCTCTCATTTACTTTCTACTTTCTTATCCTCCCCTCTTTATTTATTATTCCTCCCCCTACCTTCCCTCCTCCTCCTCCTTTAAATTTCTTCTTCGCGCGCTTTCCCCCCTCCTTCTTCTAACCTTTACTCACCGCACCGTTGGTAAAAAGCGCAGGGGGTGGGGAGGGTGGGGAGAACCTCTCCAACCGCGTCCTCCTAGCACACCACGGAACCGCCTTGCCCCGGTCCCTCTCGTGCCCCACCTTTCGCCGCCCTCGCCACCTCCCTTGCGTGCAGTCTCGCTACCGGCAGGTCCGGTCCTCTCCCCCCGTCCCGCCGTCCACAAGCCGCTCGGGGGCAACTGGCGAGAGGAGGAGGAGCCCGAGAGAGGAGAGAGAGGAGAGAGAAGAGAAGGGGGGGGAGGGAGAGAGAGAGAGAGAGAGAGAGGAGGGGTAGAGGAGAGAGAGAGGGGAGGGAGAGAGGGGGGGGGGAGGAGAAGGGAGGGAGAAGGAGAGAGAGAGAGAGAGAGAGGAGAGAGAGAGAGAGAGAGGAGAAGAGGGAGGAAGAGTAGAGAGAGAGGGGAGAGGAGAGAGAAGAGAGAGAGAGAGAGAGGGAGAGAGAGGGAGAGAGAGAGGATGAGAGAGAGAGAGAGAGAGAGAGAGATGGAGAGAGAGAGAGAGAGAGAGAGAGAGAGAAGAGAGAGAGAGAGAGAGAGGAGAGGAGGAGAGAGAGGTAGAGACAGAGAGAGAGAGAGAGAGAGGGAGAGAGAGAGAGAGCAGAGAGAGAGAGAGAGAGAGGGAGAGAGAAAGAGAGAGAGAGAGAGAGGGAGAGAGAAGAGAGAGAGAGAGGAGAGAGAGAGAGAAGAGAAGAGAGAGAAGAAGAGAGAGAGAGAGAGAGAGAGAGAGAGAGAAGAGGAGAGAGAGAGAGAGAGGAGGAGAGAGAGAAGAGAGAAGAGAGAGAGAGAGAGAGAGAGAGAGAGAGAGAGAGAGAGAGAGAGGAGAGAGAGAGAAGAGAGAGAGAGAAGAGAGAGAGAGATGAGAGAGAGAGAGAAGAGATGAGAGATGGGGAGAGAGGGAGAGTAGAGCAGAGAGAGAGAGAGAGGGAGATAGAGAGAGAGGGTAGAGAGAGAGGAGAGAGAGCAGAGAAGAGAGAGAGGAGAGAGAGGAAGAGAGAGAGAAGAGAGAGAGAGAAGAGAGAGAGAAAGTGTGTGTAGAGTGGGAGAGAGAGGAGAGGAAGAAGGGAATGAGAGCTGTGTGTGTGTGTGGGTGTGTGTGAGGGGGTAGTGAGAAGGAGGAGTAGAGAGGAGGAGAGAGATGAGAGAGAGAGAGAGGAGAGAGGGCAGAGAGTTATGTAAAAGGAGAGGAGAGAGAGCA